AAAGGACAGAAAATTACGGAACATTGGCAGAAAAAATTGCAGCTGAAATTGCTGTTGGAGGGCTCTTTGCACTTAGGAGGCCCCCATTACTCAAGACACCAAAGGTCAGCACAGCTTTCAATTAAGCAAAAAAGAACACACCAGTTGTTAAGGTGAAAGGAGTGGCAAGATCATTATCACCAACTTAGCTGACAGTTTTGGAGGTTTTCTTGTTTGTTTTGTTTTTTAGCTAAATTAAAGGACTGCAATGAAGAGGAAGATGAGTTTATTGAAATACCCTCCAATATATTTCTCTCAGTATAGCAATCACATCTTGGGTGGGTTTGCAGGTAGACTAAAATAACCAAGATGCCAGTTTAATGATCTGTTAGTGATATACATTTTGTAAATAAGCTGTTTTGTACCTAATCTATATTTTCCACAAATTCCCTAGCTATAGGCATTAGTCATATTACCCACCTCACAATTTTAAAACCAAAATGAATTAGCTTTCTGAGAATATATTTTTCATTATTAATATGCTTATATACTAGTTCCTTTTAAAATTCAAGAGCATTTAAGAATTTCTAAATGTTTTTCCAGAAGTTGACCTAGAATACATAAAGAGAAATAACATGTGCTTCATTAATTTTCAATTTATAATGGAATATGAGCTAAAAATGTCATCAGATACATGAAAAATGGAAAATGGATGTTAATACATTAAGGGATGTTAATATAACTTTATATGTATATGTATATGTATATGTATATGTATATGTATATATAAGGATATCCTGGAAGATTAATTTGAATATGGTAGTTTCATCTGAAATGCAAACACCAAAAATGAGGAAAACACAAACTGAAATTGCAGAAAAACTTGCATAGGTAAACTTAGCATACCAGATCTAACTTAAATTGCTGTGTCATAAGGATAAAAACTTTGTAATGTAAGGTACCATGCTAACAAATCACGTTGCACTTACTGGTCCTTATTAGCACCCTGACTCTTAGGTCTGTTTGGTCATGCATGGACACAGGCAACAAAAAGAGGCTGTCTGGGACTGGAATTCAGCTGTCTTTCCTAAGAAACTGTGTCTTGTCCTGAGAATGGAAAACAAGTCATTTGGATAATGAGTTTCTTAGCTCTATATCTTGTATATCAATGCACATTACAGGCAACCTCCATCCAAGAAAGAGTGCAGTACTAACCAGAACCTCTGTCACCAGAAAATTCTTATTACACCCAGAAACTTGGTTTATATTTTTAATAGCATTTCTCACAGTATCCCATCAAAGGAGAAGCAAAGCAAATGTGGAGGTTGAACGACTGCACTGTTGACCCCACCTTCTGCACTTCATTTTTCAGACATAAAATTTCCATCCTTAGCCTCAAGTGTCTGACACAACTGATATAAGTCTCATCAGTTGCATTGAAAAGGAAACTTATGACTGACCCATATAAGAAAAGATTAAATTCATTTGAAAAACATTGTATTTTTCTCAGTCTCTTAACAAATGGACCAAGGACAACAGGAATGGTAATTACAGGGAACATTAAATGGCAAAACTGTAATCAGAGACAAACTCTGCTGTGAATTTGATACACTGTTAGCTCCAAAATTCACGAATTCATAGAAAACAAGAGTGTCAAAAATATCTCCCTGTGTACTTAGACCCTATTGTTCACAGCAAAGGACTGCTGCTTACATTTTGCCTCTCATTTGTAATTTCATTTTTTTTCCAGAGGAGAAGCTAGCAGAGAAGTAGAGGCTGTCCACTGCTTTAAAATTTTTTCTTTCAAGGGAGGGAAACCATTTTAAAGAAACATTTTGATAAAACATGAACAATTCCTTCTTGCCTTCCTTCACTGTAGTCCAACTGTAAAGCTGGATCAAATAGTAGCACTTTCCTAAAATGAAAATCATCTCAAAAGAAGAACTTTATCTTTCCACTATCCAGCTGCTCACTCTTGAAAGGAGAAATGGAAGATAAAAATGCAATTCCACTCCCAAAATGCAGGTAAGAGAAAAAGATTTGCTTGACAGTCTTTAGACTGTTCTAGGATAATATCTGTTTCAGCAGATGCAAAATGTTGACCCAAGCCTCCCCTAGAATTCCAAGGATGGACACTATGCTTCAGCACCAGGGCTGGAAGTGAAGCCTTGTGCAGTAAAGAAAGACATTGCAATGCAGGAGGACTCTGCACTTGATCCAAATTCCAAATCATGAGAAATAAGCCCATCTGTAATACAAACTACTGCCAACTCCTTCCACAGAACAGTTAAGTGGAAAATAACACAGCAAGTGAAAGAATTGTTTGTTATTTCCATGTCTTTACACTGAGAACTCATGCAGATACTTTTGTGATAAAAGCCCTTACAAACAAATGTGAAGTCAATGTCACCTGTGATCTCTGATATACTCGGATCTATCAGGATAAAGAAAATTATCCTGAGTACCCTGAGTTTAAAAAAAGTCACTCCTTCATTAAATTCAGATACTGTGACAAGAAGAGATTACATGAACAAGCTCTTTGAATGATCAGAGTTTATGTCCTGGACTATAGACAATAACTTAAATAACAAGCAAGTTGATAAAAGCATCTATTTAACATTAAGTGAGTTAAAGAAAGCAACAAAGCAGCATCATAACAATGAAATTAAATGATCAGGGTTGTCCAGTGTTGTAAATTTGCAGCTTTCATCTCATTTTGTGCCTTTCCAATTGTTCTAACATAGGACACCAGCTTTCTGGTACAATAATGAGAAGGGCACCTGGAAAATAACAGATACAGAGAGTAACTCTACAACCTACTAGCAGAGTAGAACTCTGCTACTGTTAATATATACTTATATTGCAGGACAGACAAAAGGCCTCAGTTAGGTTCTGTGCCTCATTGTGCTGGGCATTGTGGAAACACAAAGGGAACAAAGTCCAAGCCCCAAAGGGCTTGCAGTGTAAAATGATAAAGTGATATAGTGAAGAGAAAAGCAATGGGATGCATTCAAAATAGACTGACTTTTTAAATACCTATATGCATTTGTCATCCTTTCAAGCTGCCAAGAGAGAAGAATAATCCTGACTTGCTTCCTCAAATCTACTGTACTCTGTTTGAATATTACTTCCAATGTTAACTGATGCCTTTAAAAAAAAAAAAAAGTTTCAAATATTTCCCTTGATTTTACAGTGGCATGCAATTAGAAAGAATGAAACAAAATTAAGTGAATACTGAAATAGAACTACCAGTGAGAATGGGAAACACAGTGAGAATGTAGTTATTCTAATTGAGAATTTAGTTATTCTTGCCCTTGACAATTGTTGGACATATTTTTATACAGACACAGATAATGTCCTCTAATTCCACTTGAGGAGTCTATTCCTGTCAGTTAAACATTATCTAAAGGTCCCTATGGAGGTGTTCGTTTAAAGCTGATGCTGGCACAGTTTTTCACTCTTTTCTAGCCATCTGGTCACATACTGAATTGTCAGCTATTTTATCTAAACCCAAGAGAAGGCTGAAGGAGTAAACAAAAATACTAACAAAAGAAATCTCAGGGTTCAAAGTAACCACAACAATCAAGCCTAAAGTTATGATTTCTTCTTACTCACAAAATTCACACAGAAGATACTTAATAAAAAACCCACAAAACCTCAAAAGGTTGCAACCTGAGGCTATTTTGAAACCCCTCTCCCTCCCCAGCCCATACGCAGAGCTGTAAACACCCTGAGCATTTGTATTGCCCCTTCTTCCCCCACCCCACTCTCTTAAACAATTGATAGAAAATATACATATCCATTCCTTTACATTTAAGACTTAGAATCCTAGAGGCTGGCATTCAAAATTATTTTGCATGACACTTCATAAAACCTTTTAAGATCAATTTTTAAATGCTGATGCCTCAGTCCTACGCTTTCTCTGCATACTGACTTAAACAACAGAATGTGGAAGCTGACTGTCTCATTAAAGCACCCATATGACAGAACTTGCTACAGTTCTATACAAATAGAAAAAGAGTCCCACTATATTAAAATTAAAAACCGAATCATCTTATCAAACCTCTTTTTTCCTCATGGTCTTCTCTCTTCTCTGTGCAACGTTGTTCCATCTTACACACACACTTAGATGTGCCATAAGTGCTTCTTTTAAAGTGCATAAAAGCTATCCACAGCTCTCCTAAGAATGAAACAGTTTTAATATTTTCTGATCCATGTTCCTGCCACAAACATTCACCGGCAGTATGATAGCTCCAAGAGGAGACATCTGATTCTTGACATTTAAAGATACAATACTGGTGAAAAATAGTGACGCTGTATTAACTGCAAACAGCTTGTGAGGGAGTAGGTGATGTACTCCTAAAATGTATAATCAGAACAAGGAATAATTTCAACCTTTTGATTTTTTATTTTTGACTCAGAGCCATAAAAAAGAGGAATAGCCTGATAAACAAATCTGGACACGTTACAGTAACTGTTTTAAGAGAATTTATATTCTAAGGCAAAAAGAAAAGTAGGTTGTTTTCCTGCTGGAGAAAGTATTAAGGTACCCCATAGTTTCTCAAAAGGGTCTCAAAAGCCTTCATAAAAAATGAGCACTAAATGAAAGCGAAATTGAAATTACAGAAATCAAAGAATTTGTATCCTAGTAACATTCAGTTAATTGACATTGTAATGCTAAATGAAAGCACTAAAACATCAAATTCCCCATACCCCTACTGTGACAGCTTTATAAATTCAAAGGGTACACAGAAAGGTCTTATTTTTCCCACATGAAAAAAAAATAAAAAAATTCTGTTCTAACATGAAGTGTTACTTTGAAATACTTAATTCTGGACCCCAAAAAAAAAAAAAAAAAAAAAGCAAAAAGCTGATAATTTTTTAATTTTAGCAGCAGCCCCCTTGTTTGGTGATCAGTGACCTCTGGGGAAAGTTGAGACATCAGAGCAAACCTCCATCCCCCACAAACACCTGAGACAAGGCAGAGCACAGTTAACAGCAACCAGTTCTCCACACTGTACCTGGAGGTACTGACATGACCGTTCCTGCTGACACGTCTCTGCCTTCACCACTGTCTGGTCCATGTTAACTGATGCTTTCTGGTAAACTTCACGGGCTCTGCTCACGGTTAATGTAGAGGACCAAGAGCTTTTCTTCATTAACTGGGAGTCCAAATTCACAGGCAGGTTTGCACAGGTAGAGCATTTGACATCATTATTGCTTCTGGAGGACTTCACAGTATGTTCACTAATAGTGTTATAGGCTTCCATAAAGTATTGGGAAGAAGAGCGATCAGGGCATCTTCCCATGGTCATGACCCCACTGGGACCATGATAAATGCAAACATCATTGTCCAAGTTGTCATCTGAACTCCACCATCCCGATGCATTGGATCTGGGCTTACCTTCTGATCGCCTTTCTTTACTCTTGCTGCGCTTCCCATACCTCATCGTCTGTGACTCCTCCGGGCTTGCTTTCCCCCCGTTGACGCTGCCCTTGGATGGTCCTTCCAGCGAATGGGACTTGGTGAAGAGCTTTTGGACAGAATGAACCAGGTGCCGGATCCTGCCCGGGCTGTCGCTGCGGTGCTCCATGGCAGTTCGCTTGTACTGCAGTGTGTGGTAGCCATCCCGATTCAGGGGCAGCTGCCGCTCAAACTGGTCCAAAAGGTTGGCAGGGATGCGGTTGGTCTTGTTGGCAGTTCCATGGGGAACCAGAGCACACTCGTCCTTGAGTTCATGGTGGGAGCTGTAATGCCTCCGGGGAAACGTGCTGCTGGCAATCTGATCGTTGTAGGGCACCATGCACTCGGCCTGGAAAGAGTTCCTTTGAGTGTAGTAAGGGTGGTCTGTGGGGTGGGGCTCCACTGGGTTTAACAAATATGGCTTCCTGTCCTGGTGGTGTGGCAGGCTGTCACATGCAGGGTCACAGGCAACCCCGTGATGGTGACTGCGGCTGCCAGATAATCCCTTCATCGCTGATGCAAAACGAGTCCCAAAGTCATCTAATACGTATGGCTGTGCGGCAGGCAGAACTCAGAGAAAGGCCTAGAAGAAAGAAATACAACAGAAACCGTAAGACTCTCAAGCTGAGAGGACAGCATGTGCAATGCTCAGCATTCTTTGTTTCTTATTGTAAAAGTAATTGGAATAAACATTCTCAGACTCGTTTTATCCATTAATCTTTCCCACGTCAAACATGGAGATAAGGACACCTAAGCAGTACACAAGAAAAGTTATCTTGTTCCATTAGCTGCAAACAGACGCAAGGAAATGTTTCCAATATGAAAAGCAAGATAGGTATTGCCAGCTCTACTCTAAAACCTCAGTCCTGAAAACATTCATGGACATGGACCTCCCAGCATGCCTAAACTGCTCATCTGCACATTTTCAAGGCCAAATGGACTTTTGATCTTTTATTTAATGAAGCACTTTCTGGGCTTCTTTGTTCCAAATACAAAATATGGTGCAATTAATGGGAAACTTTTCTCTAACTTCAATGAATATTTTTACTCAATCTCCATGCCATCTGCCTGGGGTGTAAGCATCTCAAGACAACAGCAAAACATTATTTTTCTAAGTTCTTTTCAAATTATTAATAAAATAACAATAAATTACACTAACTATCAAAACTAAGCCGAACCAACTATTTAACAACTTATATATCCTTGGGGTTTGTATTTACTATTTACTGGCTCCTACTCACTAAAAAACCCCCATCTTATTCTGCTAATGCACAACTTGATGTATTTCTTGATAATTTTTCATTATACTAAACAGCATTCAAATATCCCTACATACTCCTACCATTGAAAAAAACTGGGATAGCCAAACCTTGCACACAAAAATAACAGTTAATAACAATAACACTTAATTCTTGATTGCAGTTATTTGTCCCTGAAGTGACTCACAGTGCTGTAGAATATGGATTACAACAAGTTGAAAATGGAAATCTTCATCCCAAGTGGTATAATACCCACTCTGTTTGAGGGAAGATACCCTCATTTCAGCCCTCAACTCTAGCAAAAGTCTGGATGCAGCCTGTGAGCTACTAATGTGTAAATTATGAGGTTTCAGGTGTGCCAAAGCAGTCTCATGGTGTCATTTGGGAAGCTGGAGGGCCGAGGACTCCTTAGAGAGTGCTTTCTTATACTGAAATATAAGTAGTAGTAGTCACTCAGATACTTTATTCCTTTCTGGCAGAGCTAATCACATAATACTTTTGGAAATGTATCACTTGAGATCTTTCTTGGAGCAAGGATAAACATACATAGGAAACAGGTTTCCACTATGCTCCCCCAGCGTTCTCTCAGCTAAAGTTCATGTTTTAACAGGTTATCTGCAGCAAGCCAAAGAGGAGTTTTTTCAGTATGCTTCAAAGCTAATCTGGATGGCCTGCATTTTACCCCCCCCCACTAGATCCCTGCAATGCAGAAAATGTTCCTTCTCAGGAGAACTTGAATTAAAAAAAAAGTTTTCAAAATACCACAAAAGGCTCTTGAAATATTCCAAATGGTTAAGCTAACTGATTTACCTAAAGAGGAGAATGGCTAAAGGCACCTTTAAGAGCATGAAAATAGAATATTCAGGGAGATGTACATGTCAATCATACTGCAGTGACAGTTCTTAGCACTTCTAAAGAGAATTTTACATCCCTACCATAGTTTTTAAAATATGATCTATTAGTCTGTGTAATCAAGAAACATCCAAAGGGATGTAGTGATAGATTAATTACTTCGTTAATTGAAAATGTGACTCGAACAAAGATACCCCATCAAGAAGAGTATTTCTAAAGGATATAGAGACCAAATAAAAAATAGTCCAGTCTTTGCTATCTATGAATATCTTTTACACATCAAGGCTTATGAAAACCAAACTTCAGCCAGGTTGTTTTTTTTTTAACTTAAATCCATTTGCAGTCATGCAACAGTCCTTAAGATGATTGATAAATTCTCTTAAGGCTAAAAATAGACTAGTGTGCTATATAAGATAAAAAAAATTAAACCTTGCCTCAAAGATAGGAGAAAGATTTGAGAGTACAATTAACTGGGACATGCCCTAAAACAGAGATTTACTTTAATTTTTTCCTTATCTGAATGGCTATGACTTTTTCATACATTGTGGAAAAAAGAGTATATGTAGGCAAAAAACCAAAAGGACCAATAATTTACAGCATAGTGAAGTCATGACAGGCACAGGGGTTGTAATGGAATTATTAAGAAAAAAATATATACTAATATACTAATAAATATATACTAATATACTAATACTATACTAATACTATACTGATACTATACTAATAATATACTGATACAGCAAAATGTCTGGGATCAGGAAACACTTGATCTGATTTATAGACTGGGACAGAATGTTGTGGAAAACCTTGCAACTAAAAATGAGCTTAAAAGATGTGGGCAAGCAAAGATGTTTGACCAATGAGAGCAGCCATGTTACCAGCTGTGTTTTGGATGGACTATCAATATGGATGCTAAGGAGGATGTGCAAGAAGTGGTAAAAAGTGAAAAAACTTATGAAAAGTGACATTTGTCTGTATAGAGAGAAAGCGACAGGCTTTCAAAAAAACTGTGGAGGAAGATTGGCTAAGCACTGCTATATGAGCTTGGATGGCAAGTAGGATGGATATGTTTAGGAGAAAAAATACATGTATTTTGAGTCTGAGCTGTCAATGGATCTTTTATGAGGAAGTGCTGGAGAAAAAAGCAGAAGATAGATAAGATGATCTGCCCAAAAGGAATCAGAAGAACTGATAAAGAGACTAACAGAGAAAATGCTTGTGAAAGCAAAAGATCATAGGGTTATGAAAAATCAGATTTAAAAGAGGAGGAAGAAAAAATAAACAAACGAAGAAGCAAAACCCAGAGAGTGATAGAAAATTCAAGCCAAAACCAAAAGGGATAAACCAACTTGTGTAACAAGGAGTAGTGGTATTTTATTCTCCTAGACTTCTGGGTGCATTAAAAGAGTTGTTTGGGTTTTTTTTTTTTTTTTTTTTTTTCCTGGCGCGATAGCATTGAAAAATTTTATTTTATCATGAAAACTGTGATTTAAAAGTCCCATATAAGCATTTACTAGAATATAGCTTCATTTTACCTTAACTGTATTACTGCTACCACAGCATTGAAAGTGCAATGAATTAGTAAAAATCCCAGTCATGGGCCATACTGCACCTTCCAGGAAGGAAGGAATAAATATACTATGCTCAACATTGAAGAAAGAAGTGTTGCTTCTCTTTTAAGTATTTCGTGGACAATTCTTCTGCACCTAATCACTCCAAATATAAAACCTAAATCACTCTCACACCTCAATCCTGTTTTAACATGTTAATATATGTCTAGAAAAATTTCAATCCTACAGTCTTTGATTTCATCTGTATTCTTCAAAGAATATGCATCATTTTCCATAATTGTGTTGGCTGAACCTATACATCAATGTTTAGTGCAATTAACAGCTGGAGACAGGGCTATCTGATCATGCCATGAGTAGCTGAGAGGAAGCCAATTAAGGCTTTTGCTTTATTGGATTTTTTTAGCCAAAATAAGAACATTTAATTACTCATGAAATAGGGCAAGACAGTTGATGAACACATTGATAAACAGTGCAAACAGCAATTCTATAGACCAAAAAGTACTTGATGGCATAGGAATAAAGGAGATATTAAAGAGATACAGCACTGCAAGGCTGAAGAATGCTTACTACTTTCAGCATTCATGTTACATTTGCTTTTGTTTTCTTGAGGATGCCCTGGGTAAGAAGGCTACAAATATATTCATCCTTGTCCCTAATGTGGTGTCCCTAATGCATAACAATTTCCTGGAATAACCTAGTGGCTAGAAAAGTTCCTATTTAAATCCTATGTAATTAAAATGAAAATGAATGTAAAATAATAAAACCTGAATGCAGAAATCATCTTACATTTTACAAATTTCGTTTAACTATATTGTCTACTCATGTGTTCCAAATTTACTCATAAAACACGTTTGAGAAACATATTCTTTCCCTTAGATATATTTTCAACCTTCTGTCTTATAAAAGATTTACTGATATGCCCCAGAGCCCCTCAAACTTCATCCAACCAGACTGCAGAATGCAGAATATGCTGGAGCAGAGGAAGAACTCCTCTTGAGCAGCAGCACTCCCTGTCTCCCCTGCGCCACTTGTGGGGGAAGAGGTAGAGCTCAGGAAGGAGGGAGTGGTGGGAGGATGGTGTTTTACTTCTCATTATCCTCTTCTGATTTTGACTGGTAATAAATTCAATTAGTTTCTACAAGTTGAATCTGTTTTGACTGTTACCCATGATGGTAATTGGTTTGTGATCTCTCCCTGTCCTTATTTCAACTCATGAGACTTTTGTTCTTCTCCCCTGAGTCCAGTCATGGAGGGGAATGACAGAATGACTTTGTGGGCACCAGACATCCTGCCAGGGTCAACACTCCACAAGCTGATGGACCTGTGGTTGCCTGGGTCATCCTTCTTGCCCCTTTTTGAAGGCGGGGATAACATTTGCTTTCCTCCATCCCTCAGGTACCTCACCTGGCTGCCATGACCTTTCTAAGATGATTGAGAGTGGTCTAACAATGACATACACCAGTTCCCTCAACACTCATGGGTGCATTACATCCCATCAGGGCCCATGGACTTCTAGATGTCAAGTTTGACTCCATGGTCTCTAACCCACTCCTCCTCAACCATGAGGAAGTCTTCTTTTCTCCAGCAGAGAAGTTACCAACAGAGACACTCTCATTCAGCATAATCAGGGCCACAGCACCTTGTGTCTAATGTCCTTGTCTGTTCAGAAACCAAGGCATAAGGGATGTTGATTTTTATTGTTTGGTGAATGTGATTCTTCTAAGATACCATTCAGTGAGTCAGACAACACTTCTGAATCTTCAGGTGTCTGCCAGGTCCAGAAACTGAAGCACTGGGACGGAGGTGGAAGGCAGTGTAAACACATAATGTGTTTATGTGTATGTGCAGCTCTGAGTGAGGAGGGCATTTAATCATGTGTACAAATTGAATCAATGGTGCTT